AACTGCCTCACCAGAAGACCATCATTATAAACGTGAGATTCGGTTGGACTCAAAACAAAATTCAAATGAAAGTGAGGGGATTCGATTGGTCAATGTCTTGGTTTCTTGATAGTGTCCGACAGAATGACCGGAAGGTTTCGAGATGTAATGGAGTAGAGGCTCAATAGTCAAAGGAATGTCTGTGGTGACAAGAAACCACAGGATGTTGGTTAGTGGTCCAGCCGGGGAGAGTAAGGAGAGCAACGAACCTACAAAGCTCCCTTTGTGTGGAATTTTAACAATACGTTTAACTACTTATCATGGTCGCTGAAAAGTGGTGTTCTCACATTCTGGTCAGACATCTAACTAGGCAACGCGTTTAATTAAGAGACAAGGAGCGTCCTTCAATGAGGTTCCTTGCAAACAGAAGTGCAAGGGAGGACACGCATGTTTCAACATTAAAAAAAAACACGAATAAGCTTGGGGTCATGCTTTAAAGCCCATCGTGACTATTACGCAATGTTTCCAAAGCTCGTAATACGCTAAAGGGAGTGATTCACACGCGCTCGTACTGAGGTCGCAATATCATGATGTTGTGTGACCCTATACACTTTTTTGAGTTCCGTTGGCTTCGGACGTTGTTCAGGCGATTAAAAGTGCATCGTTTGATGAAACCATGACACAACTTGTCTAGTTAGTTTCCGTCGTTGCAAGATTCAAATAAACTGTACTTACATCCCTCTTTTCTGAAGCACCATTTGCCATCAAGATGATGCGATAGAAAGTAACCTTCTGGAAACATCTGGAACGCATTTTGCTTGATCATGTGACAGTCATAACGTCAGTACGTCGCAAGTGAAACAGCATGCTCGTGCCAACCCATTACAGTAATTCCTCCCCCGGGAAAACGAGACCACTTTGGAGGGTTCCTATGCTGTGTCACGTGAGTGTGACTGCCAAAAGTAACCTCAGTCTAGACTAGTGCCATTGGCATATTCTGCGACGAAGTTTGACTCTGGACGGGAAATGTATTTGCTCTGACCAAAGAAGCACCGCGGTTCGCTCACCAGGTAAACAATAAGCTCATGTCCACCCAGCTATTCTCGCGAAAAAATCGGAGGGAGCATTTGCGCTAAACACTGGGCGCGTTGTCCAGTCTTTACGAGGAGAATTGTCAAAGAATCATCTTTGAGGAACCAAAGACCTTCACTTTGCCTGAAAATCACCCCTATGGATTCGAAGCGTTACTAAATAAAATAATAATAGTCGTTCAGTTGTAGCGCCGTTTCGGTGCCTAGCTGCCATGACACCCGAAGAAAGCACGAGGACTGAAGTACTGTCAGGTTGACCAAGCCTAGGCAGGTCGAACCACGGACCTTCAAGTCAGCAAAATTCGCGCTCTAACCACTTGAGCCATCTCGCCCGCGTTACGGATCTGAGGTAGTAGATAAAAAGGCAGGATGAAGCCCTTCCTGGGAAACAACTGAATTCGCCATTCATGTTGAGAAATCGAGATACTCTACACAGCTATTTCACCCTTGTGTGCGTCCTAACAAATGTGTGAACCAATCATACTACTGATAAGCCACTCGCATCTGAGTTGTGTTCTGATGAACTGCAGACTGGACGTAGTAAAGACGTACACCGTCAATAATTCCCAACGGGAACGAAACAGCTGTACGGTGCTTCTCGGCTTTTCAACATGGATTTTGATTCCATTTATAGGAGGACAACTCACCTCGGAATAATCGATTTTGTTTTTCAGCGGTCACAAAAGCCTCAGCACGACCAACACAAACAAGCTGAGTCGACCGTGAGTGACTCGGTGAAGGAAAGCGTCCCGGAGAAGAGAGCATCTTGCGAACGGCGTCTGACTATCTACACATGCTCCAGTTGCGGAGGAGTGACTCGAGTGGCTGCCACTGGTAGAACAAACTCTGAGAAACCCACTGTCGACGAGCCACTACAAAGTCAACCCAAAAGCTCTCAATAAAGACCACATCTTCTGGCATCCATTTATTTCGGAATGTTGTTCACGAACCGCGCTCTGTAGTTTTTTTTTGGAAAAAAATACAGGTTATTCGTCTATTGGTTCACTGCAATCGATAATCGGGTTGGGAACGTTGACCGAAATCACGTGATCCCCCGGGATGAAATGCACACGCCGAGACCAGGTATAGAAATCACGTTTTCAGAGAGAATTATGAACTAGGAAGAAGCGGGCGATGTTGTTTTGTTCTATGACGATTAGTTGACCGTGTCAGGGCACTTCAAAAACAGAATATCGGAAGTGGTCCCACGTTTCAGTGTACGCTTCGCACCTTCAAGTTTGTAGCCTTACGTTAGAGCTTTCTATCATGCTCTGCTTCTCTAAAAATTCAGAGCGAACAGCCTGAGTCTATTGACCGTTTCACGTTGCTTGATGGTAGAATAGAGTAGCATAGCAAACTCATCTAAGACGGTTAGGATTTGCTTTGCGTAGGTCCGACTATCTCTGTTCCAAGCGATTCATCACCCTCATCCTCCTCATCATCATCACCTAGAATAACCCAGGTCGTTAGAGTAGCATAGCAAACTCATCTAAGACGGTTAGGATTTGCTTTGCGTAGGTCCGACTATCTCTGTTCCAAGCGTTTCATCATCATCATCTTCATTATCGGAGGCAGAAACATCAGTGTTGACACTAATGCTGCATAAAGTTCGTCGAAATATATTTTAAGCTTCAGAATGAAAAGAAGAGTAAAGAGTGGGTGAGGGACGGGACCTTGGTACAACAGCCATCCTGAGGTGCCACCAGGCGTTCAACCAGATAGTCTAGAAACTGACAGCGCGAACGCCAGTAACACCGACCAGCCGTCATTTCTTGCAGTGTCTCCATCCAAGGGCAGGGTAGTCACGGGACCTCATCAGCACCGACATCACCGTAACACTTCGTTGCCTCTTTCACACCCTTCTGTCAAGTCATACTTTGTACACCTCGCGGGCTGCGCCATTCCGATTCAAACATTGAGAACAGCTCTTCGTGGTAGACGATGACAAGTAGCACATGGCCGAGCAAGTTTTAATGGCCAAGCAATTGTTGGCGAAAAGTTTCGCGTGGGCATGATAAGATGAAATGCAGTCGAGCTGAGTGCTGTGTGATCCTGTTCACACTTGGCTGGAAACCCTGCGGGCCATTACACCCAACCCATCCCAGCCGGACTGCTTAGCGCTCTGCTTTGTTTCTGACGAGGTTCGTAAAGCACACTAGCTTATTTCCGCTGATTAAATCCGATATGACGCCGAGACACCTTTGTTACATGTTATACAGAGTTGAAGGCACTGTTTTCCGGTCATTCTTCCTCAAGATATTAGACTTCTTCGCACTAAGTCCCTAACCTTTCCTATTCTTTACATTTCTTAAAAAGGCTTTCGTGATCATACGGCAGTTATTCCCGCCCACA